AAATTTCTGAGTTTCTGCCTAAGGCTCCCAGTCCATATTTAAGTTCAGAACCTCCACTATCCCTCTCACGCTTTCCTTGCCACCTCACTTAACTTGCTCCTGCCAAATCCCTGCAACCATCCCTGTCGGGTGGTTACTCTTCCCAGACATAAATATCGGCCCCAAGTCGGTGTGGGGGCAGCAGGAGGGATGCTGCCCAGTCTTCTGCTGGGAACGTTTCTTTTTAGGACAAATGCAATCTGGAACCAAAAAAAGTTTCCTGCTGGGTGTTTCCTCACCAAACACTGGTTTTCTCAGTTTCAGTATCAGTTTTCTTCCTCGGCTTTCAGCTTGGATTTTTCTTTTTAATCATTTGAAGCCCAAGTCTGTGTAGGCAATACTAATAACAGGTCATAACAAGTTGGACAATGAAGAAAGTAATGGAAAGCAAGAGGCCTCTACACCCATAAGTTGATTTTCTGGTCACTAAACAATTGAGAACTGCCCGTACAGGAAAATCAAGTGCTCTTTTCTTTTTTATGCACTTGCAGCTTTTTTCCATGGTCAAAGTTGCAAGATTTCTGTTCACACCTGTTGTAGGAACATTCCCTGAACTTCTCCCTTCTTATGAAAGAGACTCACATGATCTTGCCTGATGTGAAACTCTTTGTGGGGTCAGGCACCTAAGGCAAGGAACATTTGTTGAACGAACTGACGAAATTTAGGGTATGGATCTCTGCTGTGAGGATGAGTCTTTACATCTTCAGCTTTTGGCCAGGGCCAGGTTTGAACCTGCCACCTCTGGTATATAGGGCCAGCGCCCTATGCCTTTGAGCCATAGGTGCGGCCCAAGCTTTTCATTTTTTTGAGACAGAGTCTTGCTCTGTTGCCCTGGCTAGAGGACAGGGGTGTCATTGTAGCTTACAGTACCTCAGACTCCTGGGCTCAAGTGATCTTCCTGTCTCAACCTCCAGAGAAGCTGAGACTATAGGCATGTGCCACCACACAGTCTAATTTTTCTTTTCTGCTCTGTTTCATTTCATTATTTTATTTTATTTTTCATTACATTTCATTTATTTTGACAAAGTCTCACTCTGTCAACCTCGGTAGAGTGCAGTGGCATCATAGATCATAGCAACCTCAAACTCCTGGGCTCAAGTGATCCTCTTGCCTTAGTCTCCCAAGTAGCTGGGAATACAGACATGCACCACCAGGTACAGTTAGTTTTTCTATTTTTAGCAGAGAGACAGGGTCTGGCTCTTGCTCAGGCTGGTCTTATACTCTTGAGCTCAAGCGATCTAATTGCCTTGGTCTCCCAGAGTGCTAGGATTACAAACGTGAATCACCAGGCCTGGCCTATATATTCAGGTTTTATGGTTCCTGTATAGTTAACTACTTGAATTATTAATAGTTATTAATTATTAGAGAGTCAAAAATCTTTGCAATGTATACTCTATCCGTATATATTCTAGATGGTACAAATAAAATGTATACAAATAAACCTGCTGTATTTCTTGGCTGGAAACAAGTAGCTCTCAAGTTCAGGTCTCCCGGTCAAGGCCACATTGTGCTGAAAAACAACTAATAGAGAAACCATAAAATGTTATCATGCTGTCTGTACCCATTGCATTTTTCTGATAAGAAGAGATAAAGCCCAGACATTCTCAGCAGTTTCTTGCATAAGAAAACTATTTCCTTAAAGAGTACCTTATCTGTGAGTCCAAAGGCATTGAAACATCCAAGGGCTGACAATTAAGTTTGCAAACTTCTTCTAGAAAAAGTGCTACATACCTCATTGCTGAATATCACTATGGTTACCAAGTAGTCAAGGGGAGTACTCCAAAGGCGACTGAAGTGATATTCAGCAATGAGGTATGGTAGTGCTTTTTCTAGGATGAATTCTTATTTTATTTTATTTTTTTTTTGAGACAGAGACTCAAGCTGTCACCCTGGGCAGAGTGCCGTGGCATTACAGCTCACAGCAACCTCCAACTCCTGGGCTCAAGCGAGTCTCCTGCCTCCGCCTCCCA